GCTTCTTTACTTAATCTGTAAGGAAATAATTAAAACAAAGCAACTAACCCACAAACAAAATAAGCAAACAATTCCCCACCACCAAGCAAACAAGAAACTCCAAAGTTGGAAAAGATGTTGGTCATACAATATTTTTAAAAAGTTTCTGCTAATTTTATTTTTGCGAGCATGCAACCCCCAACAAAATATGTAGACTGTATTTACAATTTGGCAGTCTTAGGGTGCAACATCCAGTACTCTGTAGAAATGAAATATCTTCAAAACACTGAAAAATCACTGTCAAAGCAGTTCCTTTCACTCTTTTTACCACTGAATATTTGAACTGATTGACTAACTTTAGAGTCAGTACCAATACTATTAGACTGCATAGAGTTCAGGTGTCAACCTTCTCTGAAACAAGGAAATCTATATTTAAAATTATAGAGAAAACTGAAAATAGAATAATTTAAAGTACTAGACTAACAGAATAAGACTTCTCCGGCAAGACTTGCTAGGGACCAGGTAGAAAGGAAAAGGTAATTTTTATTGTATTCAGAACATGAGGAGACTTCAGAATTTTTTTTTATTAAGATGAAATAAAAGTAGACTTTCAAAACATCCTCTGGAAGGTAGCTGCATCTGCCTTGCCAAGGCAGTACATGTTAGAGCAAACAGACACCAAGCTTAAGTGTAAAAGCTTTAGCTCTGTGCAACTCTGCTCTAGAGCCACAAGGAAGGTGAGTGTCCTCCTACCTCATCTTTCTAACTCAGAGTTTCCAGAGGAACTGAACAAGGTTGATTTTGATACCTAGTGGGTCATGCAATTCTTCCTGCTATCAGTGTGGGAAAGCAGATGTTTCTAGAAAGTTTACAAGAACTTTCAAGATGCAATAGTAGCTTCAACTAAAAGAAGGAGAAGGAAATCCAGCACCGACCTACACAGCTCAGTATAATGCTCTAAAATTACCTCCAGAGTTTTTAATCAGACATTCTCAGGGTTCTTTACCACAAAAAAAAAAAAAAGAAAAAAAGAAAAAAAAATCTGAATGTTATTCTTCCTTTCATATCCAGGGAATCTGATTGAAACAAATTACATAACTTGCATGAGGACACTGAAAGTCTATGTAATGTCTGGTCTGGGTTCTACCTTCTGAGTACAACTGCTGAGTCTTAACAACTCCCTCTTTCCTCCACAAAGCTGCACGCTTCAGCAAACAAAGCATTCCTTATAGCTAATTGGTATTACATAGAAACTCAACTGCTCTTATTTACAAAACTACAGATTTATGTCAAGCAAAGCCAATTATGCTTAATGTTTAAACTATTGCAGGTGCTCAATGACATTGTTGCTAGGCAGTAGAAGTGAAATTGCTCTTTTAATGCATCTTGTTCCAACTGGGAGCATGTGTTTTATCATCAGTGCAAACTTAACAGATGGAGATCTTAATCCTCTCCAGTGAGTGTTCTTCACCCTCCCGCACTCAAAATGGTGTCCCATCCATTTAGACTTAACTGAGGTGCTCAATGAATTGTCTGGAACAGAATTTGATTTTTTTGTGTGCGTGTGTACATGAATACAGTATAAAAGACACATTTAAGGACATTAAAAAGAAACCCCCAAACTATACCAGCAGTAACCAGCAACACACGTGGCTATTCAAGGCTAGTAATGACCTCTGCTAAACACAGTACCTACTGAAATAGTTATAACCAGAGATGCTCAAAAGCAACTTCTTCCAAAGTCAAGACTGAATCTAGAGTCCTTTATACTAATTTCACTCTGTGCTGAGAGATTTAGAAAAATTAGGCAGCATTCAAATAGAAAACTGAATTGGGATGTTTCTTGTTCCTAACCTCTCTTAGGAGGCCACTTTTTCTACAATACATTTTAAAACTAATCTTTTATGTTGAGAATTAAAACATTCGTATCTTGGATTTACTTTGTGAAAAGCAATACAGAGTATCAACAGGTGACTTCAAACACAGGCAATCAGATCTGAGTGCTTTGTTATCTCCCATGAAAACTGCCAAATATCTGAAATTCTGAACAACAGAAGGCTATCCTAAAATTTTCCAGCTGCTTATTGTATCATTCCACATGAACACACATCTCATTTTTTTTCTGTCCTCTAATTTTTTCTAATGTATTAAACCATGTGAAAAGCAGCTTCTTCCAAAGCCAAGACCAAACCTACAGAGTCCTTTATACTGATTTCACTGTGTGCTGGTACAAGATTTATAAAATTTAGGCAGTGCTCTGAATGTACAAAGGATTCCATCAGCTTTGTATTGGAGTCCCAGATGCTGCATTTCAAGAAGCATCCCTGTCTGTTGGTTTTAACTGCTAAATTGCTCTGTCATAACAGCAAGCATGATTGATAGACTTTTCCATGTAGCTTCCTCTGCACCAACAACTGAAATAAGTCAAAATCCAGCAATCAGCACCTCCTTTTCTTTTACCATCCATCTAAAAGGCCAAATTCTTTATTAAATCTGATTGAAAAAGCATTCCTCTAGTCTCTGTGAAGAAGGCAGAGAGCTTTATTTATCCCAAAGCCCATTCTAATCCCTACCTTCCAGAGCACCTCTTTAGGAAGGCTGCCCAACTGCTTCCTTCATTGCTGAAGGTTTTACTTGCATGATTGCATGCCAGAGAAGTCCTACCCAGGGAGTTAACTAATCCTCTTTTTCTTGCAGAATGATCTTCATCAAACAATTCAACTGCAATAGCTGCAATCTATTATCTGCTTTAATCTATTCTCGCATTTTGATTTCTGAGATAAAAAACAAAAAAAACCCCTGGTCTTAGGAAGTTTGAGGTCATTTGGCCTGAGAATGCATCAGGGGAAACACTGTCTTGAAATAAGGTTAGATTTCTTGTTCTCCTGTTCTTAGTGTGAATGGTTTCACACTGCTGTTACTTTTGCAGTTAAAAAAAAAGAAAAAAATTATCATTAGGTGTTAAAAGCATTTCCAGCCCAATTATATTCACTGGCCCAAATCTTAGATTTTGCTCTTTTATTACATAGTTCTTCTCCTTTTGTGTCTAACTCTCAAATGCATTGGCAGCAACCGCATACCTCCTGTCAGCAGACTCCAGACAGTATCCTCTGTGCCAAGACAAAGGTCAAGTCAAATATTCAAGAACTTCTCAGGGAAGACACTAGGAATTTTCATGGCTTAAATAATTATTGCAATACAAATACAGTTTAGAAAATAATACCTTACAAGCAAACAACTGTCAAGCATGATGGGTAAATTTACACAAATATGTGGAAATTAGTCTGTCCCCCACTTTGTGGTACTCTCAGAGAATAGATCCTTCAGCCTTTTGCTGCCTCTGCTCTCACAGCCCCAGCTCCAGCCCTGCTTATGCAGCCACTTTTGGAGAAAGAGTCTGTCCCTTGCTGGCAGGAGCCAGGGCAAGGCAAGCAGGCAGCCCTGTTTCCCCCATACCACTTCCTACAGGGCAAACAGGGAGTTGTACACTCAGCTCTGCCATCAAGGCACGACATCCCCCACTAGTCAGAAAGCAGATCTTTGACATGGAGGATCATTTCTGATAAAACTTGTAGACAGATATACTTACTTCTTCCGTCTCCATGGGGCTTCCTGAGATTCTTTTTTACCACAAAGATATTAAACAAGTTCCACAAAAAAAATCACTTCCAGATGGGTACTTCGTTCTACAATATCTGTTGCCATCTGGGCTTTAATGGGTCCCTCAGCCACCTCGTAGCTTTCCTGCTGACCCTGATCTCCATCTTCACAAGTTATTTCCCATGGGACATATGTCAAATGTTTTACTGAAATCAATGTACATCATGTCTACTATGTTTTGTTTAGAAAATGAGTTCTCATTACACAGACATTAAGGTAATCTGGCAAATCTACCTTTCATACATCTGTGTTGCATTTGAACCAATTTTTTTTTAAAATCTCACGACTAGAAATATTCTTTTTTTAAAAAAATAATTAAATACTAGTGAGATCAAACTAACACTTCCTTGCTGCCTTCCTTCCTACTTCTCAGGTGTATTTACTACATTTTGCTCCCACTTCCACAATGCCCAACCCAAAGTTACAGCATAAAATACGGTTAATGGAGAAATGATTACCAGCTCACAAACTACCCTGTATCACTTAATTACATTCTTTTAATGTAGTTTCTCCTGTGATAGAGCATTCCTCATATCTAGCAAGCATTTTGACTTAACTACCACTTCCATTATGAACATCTTGATATCAAAGTGCTCCTTTAGTTTCTGAGTTCGATGTTTCCTTTTGACATAAATGCTCCACTTCTATCCTCACTCTTTTTAGTAATATGACTTTTAAAAAGAAATGTTAAGTGCTAGATTAGCATCTCTCACAAAAAAAAAAATCAGCCAATCAACAAAGATTTTGTGTAGATCTTTAAACTAGAATGCATTTTACTAATAGCTTTTTCACCCCATTTCCAACTGCATCTATCCTTTCCCAATCTTTTTTTCCTAATTACCTTTAACTCCTGAAACTGGGCTACAGTTAGTAATTTTGATGTAAATAGATTCTAGTCTCCAGTTCTCCTGCAAGCATTTTTCTTTATATCATCCTTTATGAATGACAAATCTCACAGTGCTTCTGCCAAGTAAGACTGGATGCCTCAGCATCAATTTTTCATGGCAGTTTATGGACTGATGCCTGGTATACAGTATTGAGTACATTTTTGGTAGATCTCCAAGCAATTTGCAAGGAAGGTTGCAAAGGATGACTGTGTCCATTTTAGTGACAGGTAAACTAAAGCAACAACTGGCAGAAGGCTGAGTAGCAGATTAGAAGCAGATCCAAGAGCAGCATAGGAGTCTCCCACCTTTGCAAGTATCAACCACCCAATACCAGACTCCAAAATTACTTGTAAACAATAATGTTGCACAGTAATTTGCTAAACAAATTAATACACATTTATTATTTTGAACCATTCCTAAGTACAAATATATGTGGATACCTATCTATTTCCATACAGACATTAAAAGCCTCTCTCCATTAACTATGCCAAGCAGTGAGCTCTCCTTCTCCTCAGCATGAATTATGACAGTTCAGCCTCCTACAAGGCAAAAATCTCATGACAAATATTATTTTGTAAACTTATAAATAACATTATTATTCATCAACTAATTCACAAATACACAGGTAGTTCAGCTTAAGTGTGCTAGGTAATTTATCATCAGAAAGTTGGTGGATAACACAATCAAAATTTAGTCAAACAAGGGTGAAATTTTATCAGTTTTCTTCCATAGGAGGCAAAATGGGAGAACTTTCCAGGACAGTATCATAACGCTTGATGGCTTTTTCATGCTTCAAAAGTTTTTCTCCAGAATGACTTCCTCTGAATTCATTGGTGTAATCCTGATGTAGTTTTTTGTATCTGGGGGAGATTAAAGAGAAGGAAAATACCAAAATAATCATCTTTCAGGTATTAGCTTCACCCCTTGTTTATTAGGCAATGCTTTGCAAGGTACAGTGCCCTCTGAGCCCTGGAGTTCTAGGCAGCCAAAAAAATAGGACAGTGATATGCATTTTCATAGAACCTTTCCTATCTGCAGGATGAGAAGTACCAAACTGGATACAGATGTTAGTAATACCTGTACTGTGCCTTTTTAGTGAATTTAAACAATAAACATGTATTTTTCCTCAGAGAAATTTTAGTATATTTTTCTAATTCAGAGTGTTAAAGCCTGATTTCCCCCACGCCTAATAAGTGTTTGTCTAAATGGTCCTCACCCTTTTTTTCTCCCCTCTGGGAGAATTCTTATTCAGCACAAAATGAAACATTTGACTTCAAAAACCTTATTTCTTGCATGTTTTGGTTTTCTAATTGAAAAATGAAGTGCCTTGATTCTGAAGTGAAATACTGATTTGAAATAAGTTTTTTTAAAACTTTTTTTTTTCTTACTCTTAGGAAGACACATTTCCTCAAAAACATGTTGAGTTGTGGAAATTTTTTTTGTTGAGTTCAATCCAATTTTATGTCAACTTTTTGACTACCAAAACCTTTTATTTTCAGCAGTAAATGTCACAAATGAAAATTTCATTTTACAGAAGAATAAAATCGCATTTCATAAGAGGAATACAAAGTACATGCAGGAGAAACTTTTTAAGCTGTGACTCAGGTCACATTTAAAAGAAGAGAATCACATTGAAATAACTGACAAGATACTACAGTAAACTTTGGTGCTGCAAAGTTGGTGCTAAATGGAATAGAAAAAGCAATACTTTTGTCAAGAGCTCTAGAACTGCGCTGCCCTTGTAAGTCTTCTATTACTGTCATCATCAAATCCCTACTTCATGAAGGTTTCTGAAGGATTTCCATAGCACTGCCTCCCAATGTCTAAGAATGAGTGCCATTTGCATGTGACCCCATTGCTGGTGACACAGGCTGCTTCCCTCCCTCTTCTTGACTTCAAGTATTACTTATAATGCTACAATAGAAAGTTAACTGTGCTGAATGTTTTGGAATATGGAAGGCAGGCTAACTTTCAAACCACCCTGGATGTAAGAGGGGACCACAGCTGTGAGTTCCTTGCAGTTTACAGGCAACACACAGGGATTAAACCTATCTTCTATAGGTAGCTTAAAATTGCTGTTGTCTCCAGCAGAAAGTTGCTTTCCTCCCACGCCCAGTAAAGTATCAGAAAAACTTGCAGGGTTATGCTGTTGAAACCACTGCATACAGGATCAACCTGTAGTGGTCTGCTGCTTTCTTACCATCCCTCTGCCTACTGTCCTGTACTAAAGGTAGAAGCTTGTTGAGATGACAGTATTGTTTTTTGGTACAAAGCCAAGTGCAGAGGAACTCAGTTCCATGGCCAATATATCTTTGTGCTTCTATCTAAACTCCATACCAAAAAAATTAACACCTTTCTATAAAGAATATGATCCTAGTCTTTAAGACATTTTTATATTAATAAGACCACTTAAGTATTTAAGGCTAATGACACCAGTCTTTTTTGTTTAACCTTACCACATTTTTGTCGTGAAATCTCTGTTCACATATCTATCCCTACCAATTCTTAATTACACACTGGTTTACAGATTCCACAAGAATTTCTACCCATACCTACAAATGAAACATCAAACTTTCATTTTCTCACACATACCTGTGTGCAATGGTCCAGAACCCCAGGGTGTTCACCATCATTAAGGAAGCCAAGAAGAAGAAGAATCTTTCCAATTTACCTTCATGTAGCAAGTGTGGAAACCAGTTGCCTGGCAAAGCAGACATTTGAAGCAGAATTAGTTTACCTTGCGGCAAGAGACATGGCTCATATGGAAGACACGAAGATAACTTCGTGTAAAACACAATCCCAGCAGCTGCTCTGAACCCCCCGTAGGTGTTTATTCTTCGTTCTCACAGCACCAATGGGGTTTTTTTCAGTCTACAGTGTATGTTTGCTCTGCTTTGCAGATGGGCAATAGAGATCTAAAGAAACTGAAGAACCTTCCTAATAAATCTGAAGTGTACTGGAAAACCTAATTCTGTACACCCCCAAAACATGAGAAGCATTTACTCAGTGCAATAATCAGTTATAGTAAAAACATAAAACAAAGGTGAACAAGAAGAGCGAAACCAAAGTTACAGAATATCAGAGACCTATACAGTGCTGTAATGACCATTTACATAATTTGGAAATACAGGATATTTGTTGCCTTTGAAGAAGGCAGATAGACTGTCTTCATTAGTAATTAATGAAGAAATATAGACTGTAAAGCAGCTGGTGCTGAAAATGCAATGTCCACACAACCCACAGCTCGGGGGGTTCACATCAGAACAGTTCCCAGTAACAGCTGGAGCATATCAGACATGAGCATTTCTTTTTCTTTAGCTCTATACAAAAGGAATGCACTTGTTTTTATGCTCCAAGATCATTCTGAGATGCAAATCAGAGATGATCAGGAGATTCAGATTAAAAGCACACTCTTGATCTGCACTAAAATACCACCATTAATATGCCCAAAGTCAACTTTCTTTGCTACATCAAAGTCTGGTATCAAATCCTGCCAATCTAAATAGCATGGCTATTCACCTCTTGAACGACCTAAAGAGGAGAGGAGGAAAGCCAGCTTTCTTGCCACAGCTGTACTGTTCAAACCTGATAGCCTTAACCAATCTTTTGGCCACTAATGCCATCTTTAGCCACCAAATGCCAACCTTAACTTGCCAATATTTTGCTAATGAGAGAAAAAGAGCAGTTCCACAGCACGGGAGAGACTGCAGTTAAAGAATTACAACCCCCTCCCCAACACACATTCATGTATTTACATTTTTCTCTTCCCTCCACATCTTAGAGTTGTAAACACATTTCTTTCCAAAGCCATTGCCTTCAGCTCTCCTGGGATTAACAGAGAACAACTGCCATCAGTGCAGCAGTTTTCCCAAACCCCTCTGCAGTTCTCTCCACGCCACGTTACCTTCCTGCCTGTCTCAGAGCAGCACCACCTCACCTCTGTCTGCGCCGCTCCCGTTGTAGCATTTTCTCAGAGCAAGTTTTAAAACGTATCATTTAACATTGTAAGTTGACTGAGCTCCTAGGTGCTATAACTTCATTTTAGCAGCTTATAAACTTTTACTGTCATAATTCACAATCAGGTAGTTTTTCATTTCGCATTCCCTGGTGGCCAATAGAAGTCAGGGAGAGAGCTCATGGAGCTGATGAAAGAGGAAGCACGCATGGGGCTCAGTGCTACAGCTTGTCAAAGCAGAGTTCACACTGTCTGCTAGGTTATTCACACTGGCTGGGCTGACTGTATGAGCAGCAGGAGCTTTTTAATAGAATGGCATTTAAAATGGAACCTGAATGGAAAGCATGTACTAAAAACAGCACTAAATAAATAAAAATAATTTAGCATCTTCTAAGAGAATGGATTAAAATGGACCTTTGAAACTCTCTCACCACTAGTGAAGGCACCAAATGGAAGCATTGAAAGGGGGAAGTGTTGGAAGGGTAGGAGGGCAACCTGGCAAGCAGGAGATCTGGGTTCTACTCCCACTTCACCACCAGTCTCTTCCATGGCCTGGGTCAAAGATCATTGCTCCGTCTCTTCCCTGCTTCTTCTAGTAATGGCTAGTGTTTAAATAGCAAGGCCAGGATAATGACACAGAGCTTTTGGAAAACCCTCTAGTATAAATGGGCAACAGCACAGGCAGGGACAAAATTGGATTGGGCATGGTAAGGCTCCAGCTGCCATAGCACATTCTTTTCCCCTCTCTAGTTTCCTGCTCTGTCCAAAGCAAGAGGACTTTTCCTTTCAGAGCAGGGAAACAAGGTTTGTCAGGGGTGCCTTTCTCTACAGAGGAAAAAGGGTGGCAGCAGTCCCAGGATACCCAGACTGTAATCCTACTGCCAATATGCATTTTCGTCTGTGGACACAGCAAAGATTAATGTAACTATTTCCTATTTTCATCCAAAAATATTTACTTCTCACTCCTTTTTCTTCCATTTTCCTGTTTAAATCAAAGTTTTTCAATGAAAGAGAGGATAAACTTGAACTACATTTACTTCTACTTACACTCACTTTACAGAGAATCCTCTCCTCTGCTGGCAGGAAGCTTTGGGAGAACAGTCATCAGTGCTAAAATATCACCCATGTGTTTCAGTCACCAAAACTCCCTTTAGATGCTTTCACCCCTTACCTGCTTGCAGACTCCAGCACCCTCCACTGACTGGGTTTGAGGTTCATACTTTCAGGATCCTACTCTCAGCCATGAACACCAGTAACTTAGTGGACCAGCTTGTTTGTTTTTGTTGAAGTAAAACACCCTGGGCACTGCTGTATTTAAATAGTCCAGCACTTTCTTGAATCAGCATGCAATATTCCAACAATTCACTTTCCCCCAAAAGGGACTGCCTTTGGGTTCTGTCAATACTTTACTTTTCTATGGAGATTGCCAACAGAAGTGCCAATTACAAGGTTGGTTTGTCACATGGATAATTGCTCACTGGGAATTAACTTTCCACAACAAGCTTTTGATTTCCATTTTTATTCCAACAGTGGAAATACTTTGTAGCATGAATCACCACAAAGAATCAGAAGTTCCCTTTAGTTGCATATATTTTAAAGATACTTTTCATATTGGTTAGAGGTGAATTGGGTTTGTATTTTACAGCAAATTTAGAACAAATTAGAAGATTAGATCTTAGCAGTGTCAGTTCCTCAAGCCCACACTACCATCACAGAAATGAAGTACCAGGTAAATTTTCACTGACATTTTTCCGTCCTATCAATTTTGTATCAAAATTGCTCAGTTAGTACAAGAAAAAGGAATTTTATATAACAGTAAAACACGTTATCCTACCAAAACAGGCAGAGGTGAAGGTGAAGCAGAGATTAGGACATGGACAAAAACTTTCCTGGGCTGCTTCTGGTGGATGACTGACAGTGATGAACTGCTGGCAGTATTAGCCACTAAAGAAGGTGTGGAAAGGGCTGTGAGTCACTCTTAACAAATACTAATGCACACAATGTATCTGTTACTAGGATGGCACCCTTGGAAAGCTCAAGGGAATGCCCAAAGTTGTACAGAAAGACATTCAGTTGTTTTTACTGAATAACATCATTGTATTTTATTATAGAGAAAACACTGAAGACAAAGCAAAACAGTCTCATGCCAGAAGTTAGTCTGTTCAGTACCATTCCTGCATTTTTGCATCTATGCAGCAACCTAGACTATGATTACAGAAAATTAATTCATATCTTAGAAAAGGTTTGTATTGCCTTCAATCATTTCATCAACTTAGTGGGCATGTATTTAGTGTTTAATCATATCCAAATTAAAGTCTCAGTCTGCCTCTAATCCTTATTAGCTAAGTAGGCACCAGTGGACACCACCATCTGGACTGTAAGAAATACCCTTTAGCTTTATCATCTTTGGTATTTAGAATCATACAAGGATCCAAATGAAAAAAAAAAAAAAACACCAAAACAAAAAACCACAAAAAAACCCACAAAAAAACCACAACCAAAAAAGCAAACAAACCCAAACCCTGGAAAAAAACCCCAACAATTCTCTAAATACTGTGTCTGGGGCAGTTTCCTTCCTCTGACCTTCTTTATTTTTGTTTCTTTCTTACATATTTATGTTATTATTTTTAGAGAAATGTATTCTGAAATGATTGGCATAGGAGGACAGGTTTTGTCTTGCATCTTCTTCCGTTAAAATGTTAGGAGAGGTAAGAGATCCAAAAGAAAGCAGTTTCCCAGCTTGTACTGAAAATATCACTGTCACCCATCATCTGTTTGCACTCGTCAGATTTTTAAAAAAAGTCTTATTTTATCATATTCACACCATCCTCCATAGATGCGTTAAAAATGATTAATGCAGCTTTGACTGACTGATATCTGATCTACTTTGCCAATAAAAACCCAAATAAAATTCTAAACTAGTGACATGAAATAGGATATAAAAAAGTTTAAATTTTGTCAACACCCTCTGTGCTTCAACACTTCAAAATACACATTGGAGGATCTACTTTGCTGTAGAAACATGGCAAACGTGGTCTCACTGCTTAGAGATGGGAGAACCAGAAATAGTCTTGGCTCAAGTTTTAGTGAACCAAGAATCATGGGACAAGACAAAAAGCATTCACAGCCCAAGAGTCACATACTAAATCTTGTTAAATCTTACAAAACCATTGCATGAACACTATCTTCTCTTTCAGAAAATGAGAAAGAACTTTCAGTATAAATAAATTAGCTGAGCTTTTTTAGGGAAAAAAAAAAAAGTTCTGGTTGGTTTGCTTTACTCCCAGTTCCATAAATTGTCCAGATGCCAAATATTTGACAAGCTCTTTAAACAGAGCTGAAAAAACCCTGACCAAATGTCAGTAATGAGAGCTTAATTTGTGTAACTTGACCCAAAAGAAGACCCAATTTTATTCCCTAAATCACAGTCATCTTTAGAAAGTTCAATATGTAACCACTAGGTCTTATAAATTCTAAAATTATTATTTTTCTGATCCTTATTTTTTCATCACAAGCACCAAAGAATACTGTAAGAAGCCCAGTGGAAGAGCTGGAAAAAATACAGATGCAATAAAAGAATTTGGTTTATAGCATTTCCTACCAAACTAGAAGAAAAACAAAACCAAGCCTAAAATGTTTCTTTATTTTTGTTATAGACTATATCCAGCTACAGAAGTCTGATCCCAAGCCTGTTTTGATTTAAGAATCAGTTGGACAAAAGTCTATCTGGGATGAGTAGAGGAATACTCTAAGTCTTCAGTCAGAAGCATCATAACACAAATGAGGATACAGGAATATCTCCATCTTTTACAGACTATGAATTATAGTAATTTGGAATAATTAATCTTATTCAAGCAAGGAACACTAGGAAAGAGATAACCTGTGAGATTCCACTTACTTTTAAAAGTAAAAAGTGAGAGCCCAATAATATGTTGTTTACATACTAATAAGGAAAGCAATCTCTAACACTCTTGTGACTAGGGCAGCAGAGCAAACATTGAACATTTTTCTATTTTTTCTAAAGTCTTTTGAATTTTCAGAGGACATTTCTTACTTAGGAGTTGATTCAGTCCCATTACAGCACCTTAATCTGAATACAGACTGTCACTGAATCCCTTGGAAATTTAAGAGTGACTTTTGCTCAGGGTAATGGTGGGATCAATTCTACCTGCAGGAATAGCAGGTCTGACAAAATTAAACAATGACCTATGTTATAGTGCCTTTTTCTTTTGTCAAATCTAAGTAGAGAAGTTGGCTACATATAATAGTGAACAGAATTTTAGCCAGAACACTTCTCAGTTTGCTCAAAAGTCTTGAGTGAAAAGGGTTAGAACATGGCAACTGCACCCTGTGGAGAATTTGGAGAGTTCAGCCTTCTTGATCCCAGACAGGATAAGAATTTGAAGTCTCTGTTAAAACAACATTTCTGGCCAGGAATGAACATTTTCTTTTTTAAATAAATTAAATGGTTTCACACAGAATTACAGGAAAAGAATAAGTCACCCTGATAGAAAACTAGACAAAATTCTCCTGAATTGCAAACCAAATGCAAAAATTGTTTTCCTGTATCACTTTGTATAAAAAATACTATCTAATAAATTAGTTACATAATAGTCACATAGCATAGGCAAAATATTTTGGTGCTGACATCACTCTTAATTATTTTATAATTATTTAATTATACCCAAAGTAAAACTGAAGTAAAATATGTCAGTTTTACTAAATATTTCAATGTTATAAAAAATTGATAATTTTCATACTTTAGGGGGAGGAGAGTAAAAAAGTCAGCAACACAGTCTTTCTTAAACTGTTTGTTTCACTGAACCCATATTATACTGATCCCACAGTACACAATGAAAAACAATCTTTTCTACTGGGAGATGTTCAAGGAGCTCACCTCTCCACACTGGATGCCTTGGCACTTAATAGTTCTTTGCCTGATTCATTTCTGTAAACATTCCTGTTTTTTACCCATCTCTAGGTGATGTTTTTATACCTCACAATAAAACTTTAATTGAATTTTTAACTTAAAACGAGCACTGCATGTCAAAGCCTTATTTGTTTGTTCAGATCTTGCAAGTAGGAATAAAAACTTCTTGTCATCCTTTCAAAATACCCACTTTCCCTTGTTTTTAAAATACATGATTCTTTACCTAGGAAAGAGAATAACCCAAAACTTAACCCTGAAGAGTTACAAAATTCTGCAGCCATGGTAATTGCAGTGGTGTCATGCATTGGGGCCAGGAGCTGTGCTCTCTCAGAGAACAGTTCTCTGTAATACAGTACCAAAAGAGCTTATCAGTGGAAAGCATCTTTAGAAGTACTGCTTCAGCAAGTGGAACTATTTCAGACATGAACAAAGGGATCCTTGTCCCTCAGTTCAAGCGCTCCAATGCTTTACTTCTTACATTTACTTATGAAACAAGTCTTTTCTGTATTGAACAAAGATTCATCAGCAAAGGAAAAATGACTAAGAAATTCTTGGCTTATCTTGAAAGTCAGCAACCCAGAAAAAACTCCAGTTCAGGGCTTACACTAAATTCACTTTAACAGGCTGAATCTGAAATAATTCCTTTTGAAACAGGAAGTTTCTGGGAATTTCAGTATTCACCTGCAAAAGGGTGAGACCATATTTTCACTGAAACAGGTTCTTCCAATAGCTAGGCAAAGGAAAAGATGTAAAGCAAGCAAGAGAAAAGTAATAGGTCCAGGGGAACAAGTTCCCTCGACAGCCTTGGAACACTCAATCCAACCTTCTTTTCCCTGCGATTCTGTGGAACAGACAGGAACGCTTGTTCTCCATTCTTTAAAGCACAGATCTTCCTCTCGTGGCCAGAGGCTTCCACAGGAGTATGAATAACACGAACTTACAAATATAAAAAGGTGCTTCCTAGCCAATTTATTGTCTTGTCTCCCAGAACAGAAGTACAGAGATTGGATGAGAGGGCTTCCTGCAAGATGCCATCCTCTAATTACTCCAACTATCAAAACTAAGATGACTCATTAAAATTGGATGAATATAGTCGGAAGGCTATTTCCTATCTTAATTCCATCTTAATTGTGAGAGCAAATCAATGAAACTTTGGCATCTCCTTTAATTCTGCTGCCTAATTCTCCAAATCAATAATATTAGAAAACTGCTCAGCAACACCAATTATGAGCATACTCTTACCTTGAGTGCCTGCGTGGGCTGTCTGAACAAAGAAAGCTCCCATAAAGCAGCCAACTCCATTAAAAAGAGCTAAAAAATGCATGGAAATCCCTCTGATTCTTTCAGGCACAAGCCGGAATGAAAGTAAGGCACCTTAGAAAGGAAACAGATACAGTTACAGGCTAAAAACAGAAAAAAGAAAAAAAAAAAAAAGAAGTAAATTATGTCAGAAGACAGATAAGACAGAAAAAAAAATCTCAAAGCACCTGTAATAGGGAATTTCCATATTTTATACGGAGAATGTACTGGCTGTAGAAGACCAATCAGATGTGTTAGTATGTACCCTATTAACAAAGCATTATCTAAACTGTTTAAGTGAATCTCTGTAATAAACTTTAGCTTGTACAATTATCAGTGTTCCACAAGTACACAAGGATCTTTCACTCATATAGTTGCTTTCACCTTTTAAAAACTCAGGCATCAGCAAGACCAGAGAAACACCACCATGGTCAGTAGGTATGAGGACAACAGGTGTGATATTTAACTGCAGAACAGCAGGAACTCCTGGGCCAGAGCCAATGCAGTGCTGCCCCTGCTAAATACTTCCAAAATCTAGAGCTCTGCATTAACTTGGGCACTTACTGTGCTTTATCTTAAAGCTGGACAATGCTCTTCTTCCCCAGAGTGCAACCCCCAGACTCACTGGATCATTTTTAAGACATCATTCTTCATTTTTTTTCTTGCCAGAAGGCTAAACCAGAAGAAGCAAAAGCTTTGGTACTGAGGAGAAGCTGTAGCATGCTGTTGTAGCACAGATGACTGTAAATAATCCCACCAGCTGCAATTTGGCTAAAGTAGGTTACAGTAACAGCAAGACTTTATAATAGCTGGTTTTTTTTATTTTTCCCTGATTATCAATAAACTTCTCTTTCCTAATTTCATACCTTGAGTCCTCATCCACACTCACTTGGCAAGCCCCAGTGACTCCCAACCTGCTTTATTAGTTGAATTTGCATGACCTCTAGCTTGAAAAACATGCTGTAGAGTATCCCCTTTGGATGCTGAGTTGATGCTCAGCTGAAACACCTCTGAATACAAATGATACTTTGCAATCACCACCTTTCATCCTTTATAATTTGAATGTTCAAATGAGAGCTTTGGAAACATATTAAAGAAAAAAACACCATGGACAGTGTTTTCTTCCTTATTCACAAAAAGAACCAAAAACCTGAGGGCAAGCAAAAGCAGCTGAGCCTGGGACACCATCTACAGATGCAACAACACAGTCTGAAACATCATACAGTCAGTGTCCTGGCTGATTTGAATCTCTAAGACTAAAAAGTTTTTGGTTATACCTCTCTTCTAAAAGGAGGGGTGCAAAACATGCATCTTGGCCAAATTCAGCCTGGGTAATTGCATCCTCCTTACCTAAATTACCCCTGCTGTTTCAGTTGCATACTCCAGTCTTCCCTGCTCCCACAGTGCTGTGGGGAACTATTAAAGAGCTGCTGCATTTCACCCTGGAGACTATTGCATTTCATTGGTGGGCAAAGCAATCCCAGATACAGCCTCTAACATAGCCGTTTGCTACAAGGCTTCCCATTTCTAAGTGTTTTGAGACACGATGATGATATTCTTGCAGCACTTCAGCAAGCACTGATTTATTTTAAACCACTGGACTTTAAAAGACTAGTTTCCTATTTAAAACCAAGGGCTACAAATTCAGCCTGGCAAAGATTTTACGTTCTCACATCTGTGAGATCTTACATTCTAATGCTGTGGAGGAGAGTAATATAATTATTTTATTTTTAAATACTATCTTAGTGCTAGGGGACCATTAAATGATGATACTATTTTAAGAGATGCTCACGTCACCTGAAGCAGATGATTTTACAAAACTCCTGTCAATAAGATAATGAAATATGTTGTATAAACATAATTCTAAGTATCAGGGACCAAATCATAGACTGGCTTGAGTTGGAAGGAACCTTAAAGATCATTTAGTTCCAACACCTCTGCCATGGGAAAGGACACTTCCCTCCAGACTAGGTTGCTCAGAGCCCCATCCAACACTGCCAGGGATGGGGCATCCACAGCTTCTCTTGGCATCCTGTGCCAGGGCCTCACCAACCTCACAGAAAAGAATATCTTACTGACATCTAATCTAAACCTACTCTCAATTTGATGTTGTTCCCCCTTGTCCTGTCACTACATGCCCTTGTAAATGGTCTCTCTCCATCTTTCTTTTAGGTTCTCTTGAAATACTGGAATGACACAATCAGGACACCCTGAAGCCTTCTCTTTTCCAGTCTGAACAGTCCTATTAAGAGAGGTGCTAATGAAGATAAAGAGTTTAATATGCCAAATCTAACTTCTCTAACCAAGCAGTTCAGAAATGAAATAACTCCTTCCTTCCCTCTGATTATAAGTGTGAACATTTCTGTCTTCAACTTGGATCATGTATTTCCAGGTCAAGTAAATTATTATGATAATTGAATTTGACCTTCTGCATAAGAAAGGCAGTAAATGCCAGGAAAGGTGAAACAACGTCTAGGCTGTCACTAACATCTGCAGAGATTCACTGAATGGTTCCTGGGTGGCAATTCAGTTCAAAATGAAGTAAAAACCTAGATCTCAGTTCAGAAGCATGAATACAGATGCTTAGTGCTGCCAGATGTGCTTCAGTGAACCTCAACCATCTGCTTGGGAGTGTCATCAGACATGGTGCAAGACCTGAGGGAAAACTGTGTTCTTCTCCAGCAGCATCTGGGGTAGCAGAGACTGAGAAGATCCTGCTTGTCCAGTGTGCACAGTTGAGACACTCCATGACAATCGGGGCCAGACATCTGTGTGGATAAGGGAATGGAGGCCAGCATCCCCATCAACTACAGCAACTTTAGGCACCCACCTTAAGTCTGAAGTTTAGACATAGTCCCATTTGCCTGGGTTCTTAAATCACAATTCTAACTGCAGGTCTTAGCAAGATGTTTAATCTTTGCTTAAATGGGTAAAGATGGCTTTTCTTCCTAGGAAGTTCTAATCACAATCCTTTAAGAAGATCTTTAAAAATGAAAAAACCCAGCATAGAGTTTTATTTCTTTTCTAAAGGCTAATGTCATCTTCCAGTCACTGGACTTCAGCTGTATCTCAGTCTGCTAAATTAAAAAGCTTTATTCTACCAGCAATATTCTTCACATGCTTTTGCATGAGAAGACTGTAAGCAAGTCACCTCCTAACCTTTTTTTTTGTTAAGCTAAACAGAGAAGGTCACAGTTTTCAGTTACACTTAGCCTGTAACCTAGAAACCAAATTACCTGCCTAGAAACTTGTCTCAGTTAAGTACTTGAGAGCTATCAGATGAAGAGGCATTATGAAAGTGCTAAGTATTTAAAACTAGGGAAAATTACCTTTTTAGTGACAGACTGTGACCCACAGCTTTCAGTAGTCTTAGAGTATAAGAATGAAGCTGAGACACTGAAGTTATTTCCTGCTCTTAAATAAAAAGCTGAACATTTCTGGGGTTGTACTGGAACAAGAGACACCCAACCCATCAAATTAAATGCCTGCAGAGATCAGCTAGTCAATTACTTTATCTGTGTCTCTAAGTGAATGTTGCTTACATTATTTTTATAATATTAACTTTTTTTTAAAGCTCTCCAATGTAAAACACTGGTAAACACTCTGCATGCTCCTCAGAAGAAAATAAGCCTCAGAAATGTCAGCGTAGACATGGAAAAGTAAATAATGGAAGGTAGAGGAGTTCAGACTCACAATCAAGAGTATGACTACATAATGTGTGGATGGCAGACACAAGCTGATCTCTGCCTGTGCTCTGAAAAACAGGAGTGTTTATCTCTGGCTCCATGTCACAAGTTAAGGTGTGATGATCTGTGGAGGCATGTTCTAATGACTCCTGATTGAAGCACTAACAAAAATTTTGCATCTGCCTACAACATTCTCTAGGTGAGTCAGTTGCATTGTGTTACCTGCCCACATTTGCTCTGTGTCAGTGAAAAACACGTAATAATTCTATTTGCTGGGTCCACAAATGGAAAGTGTTGAGCTAAACTGTTTCACCTTGCTTTGACTGTGGCCTTTAAAGTGGTCACAGACTGTAACCAGAGTTTAGCTGTCATGTGTATTTTTGTTCTGTCTCAATAAAATCATCACGGAGGAGTTCAGGTCAGAAGAGATCTCAGGAGCTCATCCAGTCCTGCCTGTAGCAGGTTCAGCTTCAAGGCCAAACAGTGGATTGCACACCCCATGGACCTGACTGGACTGTACTACCTTCCAGTTAATCTGGAACAACATCATTGCTCGTTCTGAGTTACAGCCAGCAAGACAAATTATGCTTCTCTGAAGCAGGTAAAGCACAGATCTGCTCATTAAACCCATGGAAGAGAGCCAGAGATAAAATATCAAACGACTGTAACTATATTTAGGTAGCTGATATAATTCTCTTGCTTTAGCCTATTAGGTTTTACTTACAGGAGGGAGTTACCAAGGCTTCAGCCACTCCAAGGAGGATGTACTGAGGAGCTAAGTGGAAGCAAGGCATGGAGGAGACCAGGAGAACCTCCTCGGAAAGCGTCTGCTCCACCTGAGGGAAATGCTTTCGGTGTATTTCAGAGAAGCCAGCAACCATCACAGAAAGTGCAGCGGATAATTGACCTACAACTGGGCAAAGAGCACAGAGAGCATTCACCGAGGCTGTAGTACACGGCCATCATGTGTTTATAATGAAGCAAAGCCCTAAGAAATGCAAAAATACTTTCCTTCCCCACCCCAAAACATTCTATCTGAACACCTTAACCTGAATATGGCAAAGGAACACCAGCTCAGCACGGAAGGAATTTAAGAATGTGAAATAACTGAGAGAGGAAAAACTTTTCTGAAGACGAAAGTCACAAAGAAGAACTTTATACTTTTTTTTGAAGATTGAGAGAGGTAAGAAAGGAGGAGAGAAAGAAAAGGCAAACTTCCTTCCAGATATCACAAGAGACTGGGTAGGAAAGACTACCAAGCAGCAGGAAATTATCCTACTTGAACAGCAGTCAGATTCTGAAATATACATTTGTGCCATAAATGTTAATCATTTGTTTTCCTATTTAAAAAGAAGCCATGCAGGCACTCAAAGTACTAGGTTTCTAAGGCTGAAGGCCATGGCAGATAGAAGAGGAAAAGATTAGTTGTGCATATCACACCTCAGGAGATCAAGAATTCCTACATTTTCTCCTTTTCCTCCACTTGAACTACTCTAGAAAGTTTGTTTATAGTGCATTTGCTGGATTGCTAAAGGTTTCAGGATGAGAAGAGTTGCATTACCGGGAGAATTAATCTCCAGCTTTCTAAGTGTTCACATGTAAGCTGTGAGACTACAATTGCCTTTCTCAGCTGTCTTGAAGCAGCATTGCCACGTGATCCACAAAACACTGGATCCCCAATACATTTCAGTATAACTCTGCACAGCCAGCTCTTGGAGTCTTACACCTGCCTCAGTGGTAAGGCACAAGTGCAAGCACTGCACAAGCTCACAGGACCAAAAAACCCTCCAACCCTATATGTTTAGCCTCATAAAACACAATGAAAGGTTCTAAAACTCAGATGCACACTTCACCCGTGGCATAGAGGATACAATTTAAATGTATTATTTTATATTTGTTGATTCTGACAGTAAGAAATGGTTGTAGCCTCCCAGAAAAGAAATACACAAAGTAAGCACAGTTTTCAAGTAAGTCTCTGAACCTGAAATATGTATACTTCTTATGGTTTAAACTCCCACTTATTTTAATCAAATTTCTGATTTGTCAGTATTTCTAAGCCATAATGTAAAGAGAATTTGGTTTCTTTTGACAGTTTTGGTTCAAATACTTGGACTCTGTTTTTCTTTCAAAGCCTCCTCTGACTTCGTGACTGATAATTGTTACACATATTAGATTTAACGTCAACAGTCAAAAGCTTTTTTTTGTGTTATACATATTTCTATATTTCTATTTTTCTTTTTGGATGTCAGTATGGAAGAGGTGGAAAACTCACACAGCTAATTGGCCTTAGCCTTGTTATGTTTTTTCAGGCTCTGTGTTTCTTCTCTCAGCACCAAACTCTCAAACCCTTCAACTAGCATCGTTTTCCTGCATTTTCACAGCTTTAATATCCTCCCCAACGCCTAACCTGAGCCTTGGAAGCTGTTTTGCTGTTAAGGCTCCTCTAGTGCTTAATAAGAACATCGATGAATTATTGTTTGAAAATTGATGACAGGAGGGAATTCAACAGCATTTTCTAACCAATGCAGCTTGTCAAAGCCAAGTATAAAGCCCTCAAGGAGCTTCTTGTAATCTTCCAAAGCAAGAGCTCTCCTAGGGAAAAATTATGTTGGTACTAAAGAAACCTGAAGCAGTTCAGTATTACTACACAGTTCTATACTTGAAGCATTTTCCTTACATCTTTCCTTTTCAGAAAAAGTAAACTATGAATGCCCAACAACTTTAATTTTAATCTTTTAAGACTTTATGTGGCAGAGGAAGAAACCAAGAGACTTGGAGATCTGGTTTTCCTAACTCTTCTCCCTCCAGTTCTGTTTGAAACAAGCAGTTTAGAATGACTATCTGAGGCTTTGGTTTTATAGCTTTAGTAATATTTGGGGGTGATTCTAGGACAAGGTTCTTTATGTTAACTAGAGACTAAGGTATTGGACCTTTGTGAGTCCTGATCTCATATCCTGAATAACACGGGTTAAAAATACTTGTTCAGATTCAAATGTCTTTAGGATAAATCGTCATCATGAACTTCCAAATCACCTCAAATAGACCTTGGACTGGAAGCTTGCTTTTGTGTACTGAATGGAGAGCTGTTCTCCATATCACTCGTGGATAGAGTAAATCCAAGACTAAGACAACATTTCAGTATAGTCAGCCGTTAAGAATATTACAGAAAGAACTTCTATGGCTCAGGTGTTTTATCTAGAACCTCTTGCCTGTAGCTGATGCACACATCAGACATACTATTTCAGTTCTCTACTGAATCTACTACATTATTGGTCAAATCAAGCAGCATAAAATCTAAAACAAAACCAAAAAAAGCTCCATCTTAACAATCAAAAAACCCACAAACAACTAAGAAACTGGAAAACCCCTGAGTCTACCAACTATTCATGTTTTTTCATAAAGAGGTACAGATACTCAAAAATTTGGGACAAAATCTAAATTCATGTTAAGATTTTAATGTTTTTTAGGTCATACCTAATTTACGAATAAACTAACAACTAGACAGAAAGTAACAGATTACAGTTTTCATATAGACCCTTAATATAGAACAATCAGATGTTTCAGTTCAACATTGTCTATATGGTTCATCCTTAAAAACTGTTATTCTTAACATACTGAGAATTTCCAGAAAACTGTTGAAATTTCTTCCTCTTACAAGAGCTGAATTAAAATATAGTTATAGGCTGGCTTAACACCAACTGCCTATTTATACTTCCAATTTTGTTCCTGAAAATAATTGTGAACCTAATTAACTGTTGGCAAAAATATTGGCACTTAGAGGTCTACCATATTTGCAGGTGCAGTCATATACTTGGATATCTAAAGCCATTGCCTGTACTCACAGGTATTTTTATGCCTCAGGTAATTTATCACCTCTAACAGGAGGCTATTTTAATAAATGAAGCTATTAAGAATAAACCACTGCATATATTCTACTGCTGTTCAACATAACAGGATAGAACATTAATACTAACTTGAAATTTCCACAGTTTAAAGGAAAATGATTATCTGAATGTGCTTTTTGTGTTTGAATGCAGATGTTATTTTAAAAACTAGGGTAATTGCAACCTGCTGTGTTATATGCTTCTGGTTTGTATAAAACTTAATAACACTCTTAATTAGGCTAATTTAGTCAGATTAATACCTCTGTGTGTGTCAGTACTCACTGTGCTGCCTGCCATGGGGCACTGAATTAATAGCAGCACACTGAGAAAATAGTGGTTTATAAATATTTTCATCTGAGATTTGTAATGCAGACTGGAAGATAAAAAATGTAGGAAGTTTAATGAGTATATCTATGAAAGGGAATAGTTTTAAGTGAATAAAGAATGGAAGCTGTTTTTCTAGTGGTACTACATGTAGCTAACATGAGAAAAGGGTTTCTCCAAATCACTTATGTTCTGTAGAACATAAGAGGTTTGGGGATAATTACAAGCCAAATAAATAAAAATAAATTAAAAAAAATCACAGGAATGTCTACAGCAGGAGGCCCAACCCCTACTAAAGTCACCACTGCTTCTAGACTGTGAATTTCTCTGAAATGAGTGCCAAACTCCAATCCTGAGGTTACAATGGTTACTGCTGAAAGCACTGGGGCTCCCAACAGGGAAGACTTTTACCACTGTGAGAAAGAGAGAACACTTCACCTTTGGAGAGCCCTTTTTGTTTTAGGTGAGCACACAATAAAGCATGTTTCAGTTAAGGATCTTAACAATCAAATTGCTAAACACCTGAACAACTATCCCATACTAGATATTTTAATGAAAATTCTGGTACTGGAGAGGAAGCTGTACCTCTCCAAGTAACTTTCCACCTGTGAAATGTTCAGCCTTTTCAATGGGAACAGCAGTCTGGTGATACACACCCACTTGTCTTGCATAGTTGTCTGCATGTTTCTTTTGCTCCTCAGTTCTAAAAACACCCATTGCAGATACACAATTAGACCAGATACTTTTATTTCACTTGTGATACAACTGCAGAATCTGGAAGAAACTGTACTAGTGATAATAGAGTTTCCCTCTTATGAGTTGCAATCCTAATAACAATGCAGTTATAGTGTAAAAAATACCAGAAAAACAAAGCCTTTGTACATAACCTACTTATTTGAATCCAAACTCACCATTTTCAGCAACACACATTTATCCAGTATCAGAGAGCAACTAACTAAAGGACTTTTTCTTTTCCAAAAAAGACTTTCGATGTAAATTAATTTCCAAAAAATGGATAAACAAAACCTATTAGAAGATAACCAAGTCAGAGTAATTCTCAAGACAAAATAGTTAATACCACTTCTCTCCAATACTAGGATGACTCATAGTTATTGTTTGTGTGCCTCAAAATTTTTCATTGGTCAGAAACATCTGTCTCTGTCCTACACAAATGCTATACATTTTTTTCTTGATTTCTAGTATGTGTTTCCAGGACTTTCAATAATTCCTCTGAAACATATTTACATCTGAGCATCATCCCAAAACAAGTCCATCTTAATATTTATGGCAAAAATAGTTGTATCAGATCATCTATCATACTGAAATTTCTCTTTCAGAAATATATTTTTCAGAAATACAGAGTAAAACTGTATTATAACTGTATATAAACACATGTATTTTACACATACCAATGTAAATTGTTGGAGAATGTCCAGTATCCTTGGAACTAAAGAGACACGAGGAGTTAATGCATTCCAATATAGGAACAAGAATTAGTAGGGGCACAATGCTTATCACATTCATTGCTGCAATTGGGAAGACAAATCCACTGAAGTGCAGGTTGGAATTCATGGTTTGGAGATAATATCCTGAAGGAATCTGTATTGAAGGATAAAACCCCACTCCATTAGTATACCAGGTATCTTTCATGGATAAGATTTTTGCTATATTTGGAAATTTCTCTGATACTTTTCCATCTGAAGAAGTCACATTAAACCAAATACCTGCTGGCTAAAAGGAATGATCATTCATAAAGGAGGCCTTTCATATAGTGGCAATATCTGAATTCTCTGCCAGAATGTAACGTTGTCCTTCTATAACATTTTCTCTTGAGTTTAACAGTTCAAAGCAACAGTTGGTAAATTTATTTGACCACCCCCAGTTAGAGCTATTAGCCAATATACCAAATGGCCTAATAATTTAGTCACTTTGCCCAGACAGTGCTTAACAGAACAGAATCTTAGAACAGCAAGATGCTGGGGATTTAATACTAGAATGACAAAATTTTGAACTTCCAATTGTGTGCTCGAGGTGAGAGTTTTTCTTAAGACACTCTTGCCAGCACATGGTTTTAAAAGCTATTGGGAGTGAAAATTCGACCACAGCCTTAGAATCAGCTTAGTGCAACTGACAGCCATAGAGGACTTCCTTTTGCTCCTGGGAACTGAAAACTAAAACCAAAAAGAAGCAGATGTGGAACCCACCAATGGCAGTCATCAAGGTATGCAATTAAGTAGATTTGTAAGACTCTTTCACTACTAAAACAGATAATTCCTCCTGCTTGTTTGAGGCTCTACAGAAGATCTGTTGGGTTTATTAAAAAGAATAAAATCAAAATCCCAGTGGCTTCTACCAACAGATTTTTCAGTTCTGGTGGGGGTTTGTTTGTTTGTTTTTTGAGGAAGGTTGATTAACTAAATTCATGTGCATCAGGGAGCCATAATCTGCTCCATTTTACTGAAGACAAACTCCAACTCGATCAGTTCAGAGTACTGCCAAGACAGAGCTCTATGTAGAAGTGGTTTCTTTACTCTCTTTCTGTTTTTAGTCAGTTTGGGATTCCTGCAGCATCCTGCACAGCTCTTCAATATGACTGGTAATTTCAAACCCAGGTAGAATATTACTGCTTTATAGCAGTCTGAAAATTAATGTATAGTTAGTAACTGAGCTCATGTAGGGTTTCTCATCAATGGTTATAGTCGACCCTACTCCCTGGGAGTCTGTTCAGTGCTAAGGAATTACTCGAATGATAGATCTTAATAAAAATATGAAAAAACCTACATTCCATCTCCAAAAGTAGATATAAATTGTAAAAGGGAGAATAAATAGCAATAGAACTAAGCAAGTTTAGAACAGAGCCAAATCTTGTTGGATCCTTTTTTTCTAATGCCTATTGCAAGTAAGAATTGACTTCTTAATAGGAATTAAAATATCATCAACATGAATCACAGGCACTGAAAGCTGTTAGTAATATGAAGAAAATGTTCTTAATCTTCAAAAAAAAAGATACTAATCTATCACTTTGAGAAAGAGTCTTAAACTTATAGCAAATTCTGCTAAAGGAGTAAGTAGATTCTTTCAGCAGTGGAAATACTTCTATATTTTCTAGATAAATACCTGATTATTATATATTTGATTAATGATATTTGGTTAATTTTCATCTAGTCACTAAAGAATAACCTTGGTCAAATATATGTGTTTGTTGGTTTGGTAGGGTTTTTTTTTGTTTGCTGGGGATTTTTGTGCCTTTGGGGAGAGGGGAGAGTTGGGAAGGCAAGAGGACAAAGAATAAACCAGATGGATGGGAACGTGGGATGATGGCAAGAGGAAGTGTCAGTGAAGCAGTATATGCCACATGCTTGTAAGAATTTCCTTAAGCAACATTTTAACAGGAATAAGTTATAGCTCATAAACTTGTTATTCCAGTTGCCAAAGGGTAAGCTACCTCAAACTCCTGCTTAGCCAGGATCATCCAGACAGAAACGAATCTGAAGGAATCACGTCAGCTTAAGTAGCTTCTTGACACATTTACATTTATATAACATACACTCAATCAAAACGAAAAGAACCAGATAGCCTGACAGAGGGGCTGTGAAAGGACTGCTTCTTTCCACAAATGGAAAACCACCCACTTCCACTGTAGCTACAACAACCACATAAGCCTGTCAAAACAGTAGGAGAAATATGCAACCAAAACAGCAAATAAAATTTTCTGCATCTCCCCAAAAGTAAGTAAACATTTACTAAGTGGAAAAATTACATTTTTCAGGAAGAATACCGAGCCTGAGTCTGTATGGATAACTGCAACACAGCAGCACGAGGAGCACAGGACTCCAGTACAAGATGTTTCAACCAGTAAAGATTCAGAGAAAGGAGTAGCAAGCAGTCACACAAGCTCCTTAATGAGTCTTGACCAAGTCAATTTTCATTATTTTATGAGACTAGAGGTTATAGCAAGGAATATTCTTAGGTAATTGAAACTAATCTGCAAAGTTGCTCAGCTGGTAAAGCAAAACTTGGAACAAACATATCTACAGATATAGTAGTAAACGTGTCACAGCCTATTTCAAGTTTCTTGTTTAAAAGTTGTGTACCCACCTGCATAAGGCATGTTCTGTACAGAATTTGGAAAGTAAACAATGGGAAGAGTCTCGCAAGTGACTTCGTGCTTTCCACCTGAATCTCACTGTACTGGCCACCATAGTTTTCCTTGGCATGATCCAGCCAGCTGGTCACACCTCCGCCGAAGTAGCGATACTGCACACAGCGCGTTTTCAGTGCACTACCAATTACCCCAAAAGTCGTCAGCAGGGAGCTGTCTGCAAACAGTCAGAGACAGTAGACATTGGTACGTTTTTATTTGCTGCCAAAATAAAGAAGACAAGACAAAACAGTTTGGAAGGAAAAATATAAACTGAAATATTTCACCTTTGTGTCTTTTTGGGTAGGAGAAAGGTAATAGTAGTCTGGATTTGTTTCAAAACATTCTTTTTTGGACACAGTTGGTTCTCAACCTAATTGTTACAGAAGCAATCCTGTCAAACATCCACAGAGAAGACTCCTTTCTGCTACCAGTTATTTAACACACCACAATTTGTTGCTGAGATTGAGCAAGCAAAGCATTAATTTCCTTTGCTTTTTCTTTCCTTTCATTGAATGTTGTTAGTTTTCATTTCAAGACAGTACTGTAATGTTGCATACCTGCTGAAGTCCAGCAGCACTGGGAGGGCAGTAGTAAAGGGAGAAGGAAAAGGATTTTAAGAAATAGTTGATGAGATAAGAAAATTCTCATGGATGAATTTCAAAGCCAGAAATATTATCTCAGGACTTCCAAGTAGCATGCTGGGACAGAAAAAAGTTTACAGTTCAGTACTTGGCATATTAAAACTTGCTCACTGGTTACTGGGTTCAGGAATTGCTAACTTGGTTCTCAGATTCAGAGGAAACAGAAGTAAAATGAGGACAAAACTGTTAGCATCAGGCTTGGAAGTGTAGATTAATTTACCTTTGGTAAGTTGCCATCCGTGCAAATAAGGGTTATGGCACTTCTCGACTTTTCTGAGTGCTGAAGCACTACAGTAAGTTCTTTCCAAAAGTTAAGGTGAAGTAAGATTGCAGAGGGAAAATATCTCCCTATTATCTCTGATATGGAAATTATTTTCCAGAAATATACATTGACACTTACTGGAAGCACTTGTTCTAGAGTATTAAGTAAGGGCACCTTATTAGATAAACTAACATTTAAAACTCCCTGGCTGTTTAGTATTAACTTGAAGACTGTTGGCACTATGGAATAAAGTCTGAAATAGCTTATTAAAGCTTGCAAACACAGAGTTGGTACAGTTTTTATTGTTCTGTATGACTGTACTAGGCATCTATTCTTACCACTTGTTATAAGTGACGTTTAAGATCTTAGACTATTTTAAGACCTAATATGAAGGCGAAAAGTAAAAAATCTGCAGACTTCCAGAGTGATTTGACTAAGAAGCTAACCAGAAAACAAGTGGGACCTAGGGCTCTTTTTAAAGCAGAGGTAGTTTCAGAAGTAAATAAGAGATACCAGAAAACTTGGTTTCAGCTCAATTAATTGGCAGAGCTTGTAATTAAATATTTCAGATCAGATAATATTTTGCTTTGCCCTACCCTAGAGGTTGGACATTCAAAACAAGAAATAAGAAACAGTAACATGGCATTACTACTCTACCAGGGTTTAAGCCCAGTCAGATTTGAAATCAGGAGATGCACAGAGTAACCCATGACAAGACCAGCAGACAGTTCAACAAAGCAACATGTCCTGGTTCACGTGACCCAGTCTTGAATATGGTCATGGCCCTCACATTTCAAAAGAAAGGAGATGTGTTGGGCAGACTCTTCTTTCTCACTCTCACTGAAAAAAGGACTAAAATAAACAACAAAACCCGATATTTCCCTGCCTTTCCTAATGGATCAGCTGAGGCTCTCCTTTATCTCATTTCAGTCAACTACCTTGGAAACATTATTTTGCAGGAGACAAAACAGACAAATGCATTATTTAGCTGTGTTTCTCTTCATGGAATTCCAGCAGATTATAACAGCTAGTAAACCAGGAAGATAAAGCTGCTTGAAGTTGCTGTTCAGAAAGCAACTTCAATGATACATAAACCTAATTATTATCAAGAGGATTTTGCCAATGATATAGTCAGAATAAGTATGTCATCCCTTCTTTAAAAGAAAATAAGTAAACCCCACAGAACTCCATAGTGGTGAATTCTTTGAATTTACAAACCTGATCAGCTAGTAGGAGACATGTTTAAAAGCATAAATATTTATATCAGTGCACATTATGTAGCTAAACATCATACACTACATATTTTTATTTCTGAAGTTTTCAGCCTGTATAGATATTAAGTTACAACTTTCAGAAAATTATTTACCTTCTCGTTTATACTTCAGCCCTTTGCTTTCATATTCTTTTACTTTCACTGTAAACTAATTATGAATATCTGTGCTATTTAATTGCAATAAAAAGCCTACATTGCACCCTAGATGGTAGACATTTTTTTCTTCATCTCTATTCACCTGCAAGTCCTTAAAACTATAGCAGTGGGAAGAAATGCCAATAAAGTCCATGTTCAATAGCAAAACATAATTGAATGCAACATCCATTTGAAGAATTACCTTAAGATAAAAAAGGCAGTAAATATAAAAATCATTGAAGGTCACCTATAGATTTGAATTACAGTTCTGAAGAATTTCTAATTTCTTCACCTCAGTGGATAATACAAAGTATATTATCTTTTGTTTTCACTAAGGAAATAAAAAACTTTGCAGGTATTTAGAGACTGGCCTTCTGCAAAGAGTTGGGAAATATAGGATCATTCAAGTCATAGGGAAAAACACTTGATACAAAGAAAAAAGTGTTCTACTAGTTTGATTGAGGGTCAAGACAGACATAATCTACGAATTTATGTTATTCCACTTAGTAGGATTAAACTATTTAAAGGATTAAATTACAGATTTAGTCCATATTTAATTGCTGAGATCAGGAATATACTAAATGTTTTTCCCTTCTCATGTTGTAAAACTGTAGTGAGCCCCAGTCTCTCCATAACAAGTTAGCTAATTTGATGGTAGTCAATGCTTACCTCAGCTGCATATTATGATGAGGTTTTGGTGGCACTGTGGAGGCGATGCATTTCTTTGGTTCTATTTATTTAGAATAAACCTCTCTAGTGATGTCCTTGCTACAATAATTACCAAACACTTAGCTTATGCATTCATTCACTCACTACTAATATATTTTTTCTTTGATTATATTCAACAAAAATACTGAAGTAATAACTTGCTTTCAGTTTCTGGGTTCTATTGAAAAAAGAACAGGAAGATTTGGCCATTTATGGCCTTTTTCAAGCCACCTTGGCTCCTCTTACATTTTTGTGCCTGATAAATTAAGAGGGACATTGTCTATCAAAGGATTTTGTAGAGCTCAGGTACCAACTGGTGAGGTCTCAAAAGTGTAAGAGCTTCTTCTGTATTAAAATATCTGCACAGTCCGCACAGGAACTATTAAAAGCTATTCAGTATTTCTAGTTACTTTCAAATGAGTAAAACCACCTGAGGTTGTATAAGCAAGTATGTTGAAATAACAGTAAGTACCAGATGTTCTGCAAGATAAAGGCACTACAAAATCACTTTGCTACTAATGCATATTCCTGTTTAGCTGACTAACCCCTGTGCTTGACTGCCCAGCTGTGAGTTCAGGAGAAGCAATAGAACACACTTAGCATAGACACAAACTGACCAAAACACACTGGCCACAGGTTGAACCAATCATGACAAAATCAGTTCCACCAGCAGCAGGGATATTATACTTCTTCCTGCACAGGCAAATTCTTTGACAATTTCCTTGATATGCCAGAAAACATACATGAGTTTACCACAAACTACTTCCCACTTTTACAGCCTATTCAGAATCTCCAGGTCTGTTTTTACAGAGAATGGATATTTTATCTTTTACAAAAAGATATTGTAGAGGTAAAACCCAAGGATCTCCAACTAAACAAAGCAGTGTTATAGAAAAACTCTTTTAGATATGCAAGTTGATTTCTTCTGTGAAAATAATCTCCAGAGTTACTTCCTAAGTTGCCTCTTACCTGCTTTGGGTTTGTAAATCATTTCACCCCTCATCATGTGAATTGTGATGATAGCCATAATCCCAGACACAAATGGGATAAGAAAACCAAGGTTCCTGGCCACAGACTGCTGGATGTAAGAAATGCTGACAAAGACAACTGCTGAATTTAAGTTAACCAGCCAATAAAACCTAGTACACAGAGACAAGAGAGAGAAGAGAGGCTGAATAACATAAGGCTTTTACAGAAGATTAAAACATCAAATTAAAGGCATGGTTAAGTATAGTAAGCATGGACAGCATCAGTACCATGCACACATTGACACACCAATTAAAATAGAATTTCACTTGAACGTCTCAGCTCCAAGAGGTGTAAGATTAAAGTAAGTGTACTAAAGCAGTAGAGCTGAACAAATTATCAGCATAGTACTGCAAATATTCTTGTGGGTGATGCTAATTAAATACATCAACATTTAACATTTACACATTTAATATCTGGTAGCATAAGTTTTTGTATGAAATATCATCAAATCATATGCTTTAAGCTTAAGAGAGAAATGACTTAATGCCACCACCCTTTGGTTAAAAAATATTACATGTTTAGAAATCTAAGAAATAATTTGATTTATCAGTCATTAGTTGCAAGGCTCAGCTTGAACTTTTGTTGTCTTCTGAAAATATCTTAATAAGGAGGTTTCCCGTCACAATTTTTTTTTTAGTCTGACACTGTCTTTGGCAGTAGAGGTGCTTCCCAAGTAAGTGCTGAACTCCTCCTGATCACAGAACATATTCAAAGGAAAATCACACACTCTGGAAAGCAGATGGTATACCACTACTGATAGCCCTACTGCAGCTTAGAACCCCTCAAAATATCACAATAAATATTCTTTAAGGAATAGGAGGATAGCAAAAGATAATTCAGCTATTTTTACTTTAAATTTGACTCTGGTTTGAAGAGTTAACCTTTGAAATTTTAAAGTTTAGAATTTAAACTCTGACTAAACTTTCAAGTTCCAAGTTGGCTTTGAAGATGTGTATTGGTCTGGTGTGGCACGCAGGCAGACAACAGAGTTGGCTTCTGTGAGAAGGTGCCAGAAGATTCCCATGTGTCGAACAGAGCCAATGCCGGACAGATCCAAGATGGTCATAACACTGGCCAAGGCTGAGCCCATCAGCGCTGTGTTTTCTGTCCCCTGCCCAGCTGAAGATGGGAGTGACAGAGCAGCTTTAGTGGGCACGTGGCATCCAGGCAGGGTCAACCCACCAGAAGATGACAACTGTATTTTAAACAAAGAAGAGGGATCAATAGTGGAGTAGTACTGCCTCAATATATCAAAGATTACAGTTTGCAAGCAGATGCAAGAGGAGATTCCTTTACCATTGCTGGAACCTTAGCAAAATGGTTTGATTTAAAGGTGAAATATAGATTGATACATAATTATACAGCTTAATACATATTGCTTGAGGACACAAAACTTCTTTTCTTGTTCAGTGCCACTTCTGCCCATATATGCCATTTGAACTTGAATATTTATGTTTCCTAATTAATATAGAATTATCTTCTCAATGATAAAAGAAAAGGCACTTTGGAATTATGTTGCTCCATGATGATAGAGTAGAAGGGATTTTATATTTACCCATGTTGACTGCTGTTCAACTAAAACTTTAAAAAAATATAGTTACACAACTGGTTCAGTTAGAAATTGTGTAGATGTCTTGAATCAATTCCTAACATTTTTTTAAGTTAGAAGTTTCAGTGACTCTTTTCCAAACTTTCTAAAGAAGTGTGCAGGAGCTACCTGAAGTCATCACACTCTTCTTGGTTCTAAGATTGTTTGACTGGAAATAGAAGGCATCCAAAGAAAACCCTTGAGCACAGGAGAACACTTTTTTTCTTCATCATCGTACTGTAAGACTGAAACAAAGTTCCTCTCACAAAAATGAGGAGGAAAAAAACCCAACGGGTTTAGCAATTCTTACTGCCCAAACAAGAGAGATAAACTACCCTCAATACACAGAATTTAGGGACGTGGTCATATCACACTGACAGCAGCAGATCAAAACCTACACAACTACACAACCTGGCTGGTTCTCATACAACAGCTACCTAATGCTGCAGTATTTGGGCTGGCATTACATAAAGTGTCTCAGAGGTCCCACTAGGACATAGTGGGTTTAGTTAGGCACATCAAACTGAACATCATGTACAGCTTTGTAGGGAACAGCTCCTTCCTGGAGCTTCAGCACTTGGAGGTCTCTTCACAGTGAGAGCTAAAGGCCAACTTGGGAGGCTCATTTCAAGAATGCAGTCCAGATACAAACCTAAATGCTACTGTGACAAGCCACATAGACCTAATAATCTTCTTATAACACTGTACAGAACTGCATTCATTGCAATAACTTTAAAGAAGTAGCAACTCTTATTGAAAATATTGTTTATGTGTATAAAGAATTCAAAAAGTTTTTACTTAATGTAACAGTTGAGATGAAACTACTGAATGAAACTATCTGAGATCACGTGAAATATATGAAAATAGACCTTTTGGATTAATTTTTAAGACTCAGAAAATGTCTTGTTATCTGAAATATTACTTGTTTTTATCTTTTAAGCCTGCCTAGCTCTCACAAATTAAGTTTTGATTTATCCAAATTCAGGCCCAGATATTCCATGTATAGGTCAGAATCCAAGCTATATATTTTTTTGTACTAGATCTTTGTAGGAGGAGGTAAATTTTTCAGAATCACTACAGAATTCTCTGCAAAAGCAAGGTGGAGGAAAAAAACCCAGAGAAATAGAAAAACATTTTAAAAAGTCAAAGTAAAATGTGTTCAGGATAATGTCAGAAACTGATCTGTAATACATGAAAGGAAAAGAAAGACGGAGGGTGGAAAATACTACTGGTTTCATGTTCTCTGTATTTATTTTTTCTAAAGCAAATCTCTAAGACAAGATATAACTCTAACTCTCACCCCAGTTTAGATTGCACTCTTTGCTCTCATTCCCTGGTCCTACAGAGAGAATGTATTTCTCCTGCTGCAAAAATAGCATTTAGCAATGCAGAAGGCCTTAGGGAAATCTAATCCAACAGAATCCAAGCCCTTCTTCACTTAGCATTGGTATATTCTATTTATTTAGAAGGTCAGAGCCATAGTACATATTAGGGGTAAGAACGAGGCCCTGGATGTACAAAGCAATTTTCTTGAAGGATTGAATTAGAAAATAGATACAGGGTCTTTTAACCCAATCTTTAATTCAGTAATTCTGACTGTTTAAAAGGAATTTGGCTAAGAACATAGATTCAAACTCACCAAGAGCATGCAAGCATCTCATTATATATAATTTTAAAATTCAATCCCAAGACAAGCACCTACCAAGAAAAAGTGATTATATTCTGAGACATTCAATGAGATTAAGAATGAACTCTCCATTTTTTAAAACTTGAGATTGCACTCCAACAGCATCTCCTTGGGTGTCACTGCAAAAATTATTAAATTTTTTTTAATTGCACATGTGCCTTTCTTGATATTTCCAAAGCTCCAAGAACTGACCCATCTGGATTCCCCCAAGGAACTTTTTATTCGCATTATATCTCCTTTGTAATCAACACTGAGAAATGTCACTTTGATTAAACACAATTCTGAATGGCTAAGACCACAGTACAATAAATTCTCCAGAGCTATCTTTCAGAACAACTGATTGCTCTCCAGTTTTAATCCCCCAGAGCCTTATTTAATCAAAATGATGTTGCTAATTAAGGATTAAAACTCAGAATAGAGTAAAAAAGGAAAGACTTTTTTTCTCTTCTCTCCTATGGGCAGGTCAAGGAGGCAGAATCTGCTCTAAGGAACTAAACAGTCTCATCCACCTTTGGTAAAGCTATCTTATTCACTGAAGTTTGGATTTAATTCAAAACTCTTTGATATTAACATAATTGGAGGAAAAAAGAATAGCCAGGAAAGCCATCCCCAAAGGAGAAGAGATCTGATTCACTAAGATCTTCATTGATTCTTCAGTATTGCATTGTTAATATGCAAATGTGCCAAGTTTTGATTTTAATAACCATGCATGTAAAGGAGAGAAAAGGGGGCAGTTTAGGGCTTTTTTTTTAACCCCTTGAAGCAGGGATTTGGAGGTTCCCACTGCAACTTCCTCACTGGACAGTTTAACCAGAAAGTACAGCACCCTGTATAGGGTTGCAGAAGTGATAAAGAAAGGTAAACAAATCACTACAAATTACCTCCCTGATGCACTGAGAAAGAAATAATTGATATGAAAAAACCAAAAAAAACACCACCCTGAATTTTAAGAACCATCTTAAGAACAATTTTTCTTAAAGAATTAAAAAGAACCAAACCAAAACACAAATGTCAAGAGGTTTTTCTGGTGCCAGAACTTCCCAGCAACAGAGTTGAAACAATGCAGCTCCCTACCACTGAGTTTAGCAGTTACAGACTACTAGCAAACCCTACTTCCAGCAAACCAGCAGACTCTACTGCTGCCTCTCAAGGTTAAACATTTACTCTGATATAAATTCCAATATATCATTGAATTTTACCACAGTTAGTTAGGGAGCAACAGGAAAATATCTTAAAGGGATAGCCATATTAAAGGCAGAAAACCAAGTGGAACGTGTTGTTTCAACAGCAACTAGATGGTCAAATCTTAGAGCATTTGGGCAAATTGTTTAATCCTGAATATTCTGACAGCATATTTCCGTAAGAGGTTAATACAGACTATCACCTACTAGCAAAGTGAAAAAGTTAGGAGAAGTTTTAACTAAAACTCCTGGAAACTCTTCCAAAATCTACAAGTTTTGTGGTTAAAAACAAAGCATGAAACCCACCACCCACAGAATTTACCTTGTAGGTCAGTAGTGAATTTCAAGGCAATGCTCTATCATTCCCAACAGATACTTAGCCAACATTAAATTACCAACCAGTTGAAAAATGAAAGAAGTTCCTTTGGTCCACATTCCTCAAGGTTGTATGCACTGAGTGGACAAACTATAGCTCTTATGCCTCCTATTCCCAGACTAGCTGTGAGTAGTGCAAAGTAGAATACTATTTTCTGCTCCCTTTTGGGTAGCGTGTGAAGAACATGTCGTCTGTCGATGTAAATGTCTTCAAAGGGGAATGACACAACAGGTAATAGTGCTGTGCCTGGAATGGAAAGAAAATTTCCGTTTGAAATTAATTAGAATCAGAAGAATCAGACACATTTTTTTAAAGCAGGTACGTTGCAAAGACAGATGGAAAATCAAAGATACACAACAGAAAAGTACAAAGAGGGAGAGTCATAATCCTGTAGAGAGGCAGAACCTTTCTGGATGATGATATATAAAGTAAGGCAAAACCACAATGGACCTCCAAAAACTAAACTTCCTCTGAAATGCTTATAAGGATTCAGGTTCTTCTGTGAACTGAACCACCAATTAACCAAAAAAGCCCAAAACACCCCAGTGTGGAGTGCAGTCTTTTTTACTATAAACTCCAGAATCATAATTTAACAAATAAATTATCAAAATTTTTGTGGAAGACTTTTTCTTTTCTTCTTTCTGCTGCATCTTCATGGAAAACACATGATTTTCAGAAACTTTACCCATAGAAGGACTGCCAGCATTTGCCACCTCCAGTCTGTAAAGCAAGTCTTTCAGATTTAATCAGCTACAGATTTTTCAAGTTGTACTTGGACTCTAAACTTAAAATATATTGACACCTCAACAACACAAACATTAGCCACTACTAAGACTATGACTGCTCATCAGACTCTAATGCATCAGGAATGTTTAACAATCTATCTCCAACAAAAAAATGTTCCATCTGAAACAATTCCCAAATACCTCAAAATCTGGTCACTGGTCTTCTACTTTAAGATATGCACTGCAAGGAGAAGTAGTAGAAGGAAATTTAAACCAGAATCCCATAGGAGAAACAGTAGGACACAATAAAAATAATTTTTCCAGGGTTTTCAATCAGCTCAAGAACATTACAGGAATAACTCTGATTTTTTACTTGCTTTGTAGCATGTCTGAATTACAACGTGGATGGCTGTTGTAGAAATCAGACTTGCTTATGCTCAGTAACTGGTTCAAGTAAGAAGTATTTCTATCAGTTTGGTTTAAGTTGACAGAGTAACCATCCGCTGTGAGACAGGCTAATTGCTACAGAACAGTCATATTTAATTTGAACAGTGCTCTTATATAAAAGATCTCAAGAATGAGACACATGGAAGATTCAGAATGTGCTAACAGAAAGCAGGCCCTGGGTGCAGGTATAAGAGTACAGTCTGTACTTCAGGCAAAGTCTGGTTATACTGGTAAATGCTGAAATACTTTTCCTCTTGTCCAAATACAACAGTAACATACAATCTTACTACCAACAGCTAGAAAACAGTTTCCAAACTCTCTCTCCTACTAAAGCCTTGCGTTTGTGCCAAACAACGCTAACAAAAACTTTAGACATTTGTTAAAGAGATCAATTTTAAGAGTTGAGCATCCAGGTTCTGAATAGCTACCCCACTTTAGAGGAGTCAAGTTTGTGCACCAACTGCACACAAGATACACATACAAATGTTCCTTAGTCTTGTTCAAAGCACTGCCTCACAAAACTACAAAGGTAAAAATACTGTAGTGCATTTTGTAGAGGAGGAACTAAGTCATTATCTATTAGAGAAGGTGGCCACAAGGCTGGAGAAAATGGTTAGATTTCAAACACAAAGCTTGAGAATGCATTGCTGCAAGACAATTCGTAAAACAAGAAATGGTGCCCAGGGTGTCACCTACCTAGGAAGTGTAGAAACATGCAGATGCACACAAGCTTGATCCTCCCCACAAGGCACTCGGCAATCCAGCCCACCAGCACTGGTGTCAGCATGGAGGTGCCCACAAAGCACATGTTGACAATGGCTGCCTGGTAGTTGCGATAGCCGAGCTTGACAGTGCAGAAGTGGATCATGTTGCACACGATGCCAAAGAACGTGAATCTTTCACAAAGCTCCACCAGCAGCACACAAATAGCCTCTTGAAGTTTCTTCTCGGGTTGAGACAGTTTTCCATCACGGTTGCTTCTCCCAGCTAGGGGACTTTGCTCCTTGTCAACCATGTGGTTCAAAAATCCCTTCCCTTGCACATCTCTTCTGTCTGTATCAGACATGCTTGTCTTTTTTGGAGTACAACTGAGTAGAGCAGCTTAAGTTGCAGGTAGACTTCTGTGCTCCTCCACTGCAATTAGCAAACTGGTAAGACTCTTGCTTTGAATTCCACACTTCTCTACTACAATTTCTTAGGGCACCTGTCACTTTTGAGATATTACATATAGGATCAAAGAGTATAAAAAAAAAAACAAAACAAAATAATCAAAGACCTATATGAACATTTCAGCTTCTGAATTTAGCAACACTCAGGAAGTTAATTGGCTTATTTAATTAGTCCATTTGGGGGTGAACAAGATTTTTTTCCCCAGAATTATATTACCTATTAAATTATGTGAATCCAATACTGCATGTGCAACTCTATCTGTAAGTTAAAGATAAAGGTTTAAATACACATGAAAGCTAACATTTTCAGCAGAATACAGACAACAGATCAAGAAAATAATTTGATTAAAATAATCCAATACTTTAGCTAGGCAACTAGTGAAAAACTGCAAGTAGATAAAGAGAGGGATTTTTTTTTTAAAGTTTATCCAATCATTATGATAGTTCTTGTTATTTTTGGCTGAAGTTCAGATAAAGTTAATTATAAAAATAAGTAATGCTTCTATATTTAAGTTAGAAAAGCAGATTTTTAAAGAAAGTAAGTTAAGTTTATTAGCAAAAGAAAAAAGCAATCTAGAAGCAACCTAAACCACAACTGTGTCTCCAGGTGGATGTAGCACTGTAGCTGCAATGCATCAAAAGGGGCAGGGGCACAGGTGATGTGTTCTCTCACATCAAACAAAAGCAATTACAACTTTGAGAGGAAATTAGGAAGAGCCAAACTTACATTGCTTTACAATGCTCCTGCTACTCTATCCACAGAGAAGTTTGCTGATTTCCCAGATCAGTTTCTTCATTTTGTGGAACTCATTAAGATCCTAACAACTGTTCAAAATACTTCCAGTTACACATGAGAAGCATTCCTCATTTATTTGGTACAAATGTAAATGCATACACATGTTGCAAGGCAGTGGTAAATCAGGTCAGCTTCCCTAAACAGAACTTTTAATGTCTCTAATAGCATTCTTTGGCTCTGCTGTTTGTTTTCACCTGTCTTTATAATGACTCAAATTTTACCTCTTCAGATCTATTTAGAATATGAGAATTACTTCATCACAAAACAGAAGAACAATAGTATATAATCAGTATGGGTAAAGATAGATTTCAAAATTACCTGAAAAAAAAAGAAACTGTGATTCAAACACACAGGTCAGAAACTCTGAAATGGAAATCTAAGTAGTAATAGACTGTTCCCTAAAACACTTCTGAAAAATATATATTTTTTTTTTAATCTAGTATAATTCTAAAGAAAGAACTCAGATAGCAAAGAACTTATAGTTTTCAGAGATGTTCAGTTGGGTATGAAAACAGCTGTGACTTGTAGCATGCCAAGAACTATTTCTGTCTTCTAATCCATGACAGCTAAAATGATCCTCATTTGGACAAACCAACCTGAGGAATTCAAAGTGAAATCACTTATAACTCAGCTTAGTTTCTCCAACAAAGCCTAAAGAAGCCAATCTCAAGTCAAAACAGGACAGACAAAGTATTTTAACTCAGAGGTGCATATATCTTCTGTTGCATGAAGCTACTCTTGTCTAACTGTTAGCGAAGTTTTTTTTTTTAAGGACATACAACTGCATTTTAGCATCAGTTAGAAAATACAATGATAAATATACTCTTGCTCCCCCAGAAATTTCAATGTCAAATAGTCGTGCAAAGTTTACCTGTTCTCATAGGTGCTAGCAATTCACAGTGAACTATATCATGGTAACTACTACAGAGAGCAGGGCTACTAGCTGGTCTGGATGTTTCTTAGTCCTCATGTGGCTTCATTTAGCCTAATTTTAGGTTACAAGCTGGGGAAAAGGAGTAATTGACTGAGCCTTATAAATGCCATAGAGAGGAGGAAGTGGGTGATTCTCATTGTTACCTTGAATTGCCTTTTCATGTGACTAATATGGGTGTGGTGGTGATAATAATCACAGATCAGTATATGACTTAACATACTCAATGCTCAGAACATATACAACTTCATAAAACAAGGTAATCTTTATGGATTTATTTTTTAAGCCCCTTTTGCAGCAATTATAGGTGGTCAATCTACTTGTGCATGATTTTAGGTGAATTCTGATTGAATCAGCTGGCATTCACTTGGCTTATTCTTACTTATTCTTATACAAAGCAATAGGACTGCATAATGCCTGAGGTGAAAGTCTATTATTTACATTAACATATGTAGAACTTTATACATTCTGAAGCTCCTAGAAACCAGATGCACAAAATAACTGCTATTTAAAAATCCAGCCCTTCTGGCAGTACCTCTGTGTGTCAGTAAGGACTTTATAATTTTTTTTAAACAAATCTTCTTTGAAGGATGGCTCTGAAAATGCGACAGTCAAATCTTGGAGAGAGGTTTATAAAGGTACTTTTTTCCATGTGACTGTGTGAGCTCATTAGAGGTCTGACCATTAATAAAAGACTTGTTATCTGGTGCCCTACTACCCAAGGCAAAAGATTACTTCTTGTCATACTAGAACCTATAAGTTAGCATTACCTTAATTTTTCAAATTGGACAGGTTAGGACTGAAATTTTTTACTAATCTTCTCTGACAAGAAGAAGGGGTTTGTATTGTTGGGGTAGTTTATTGAAATTGAGGGGCAGAACTTCAGTGCCCAGCACTGTTTATGTTCTAGAAGGGTCAGTCTCTCTAATGTTTTAAGAAATTTAATTGAGCTTTACTCTACTCTTTTAAAGAACATGTAAAAATTATTACCCTTCATCATAGCAGCAGCTGTGGTTCCTGCTAAATATCTGGGGTGGAAACATAATTGACATGGACAAGACTGGCAATGCAACACAAGGATTTTGACATCGTAAATAAAAAATTACATGGGTCAGACCTTTCTAGTTAGCTCCAGGATTCCCATTAACTTGCAAGGGTTGCAAAGCTGGCTTAACGACCACTGACCTGAAGACTGCAATTTGAAGACTTAAGAAAGGCAGAGCAAAAGCTCTGGGTGAGAGCATTGCCAAACAGGGGCAAACATGCCTGGGATTTGCTGCCTGATGGTGTAAACACAGGTCAAGGTGGTAGCCTGAGCAGGCAGCCACATTAAAGAAACAGCTCAAAGTGGGGCGTCAGAAAGAGAGAAAGCAGGAAAATGCTGCAAAGACAAGTTCAGAGGACTGCCTCTGGCACCAGGTGTCTCGCTGCAGGTACAGGTGACTAAATAAAAGAGTTAAGAGGGTTCGTGAGAGAAAAAGATGCGGTAACAGCACAGGCTAACACTAGACTTCATACTTTCCAAAATCAGCCCTGTATTTACTTCTGTTCCATGCTCAGTGTAATACAGGACAGCAGTTCCCGGCCAAGCTGATCCCTGCAGGATGTCCCCTCGTGAGGGCAGCCAACCACCCTTCCCTGCAAAACTGGTCGTGCTGTTTAGTCCAGCACAAGGTGTGGCCTCAGAGAAAGGATTGGACACTGGTGCAAAGCATATCCTTCTCCCCTTTTTTTTTCCTTCACGTAATTACATCTCTAGTAGGGAAAAAAAAAATCAACAAACGCAAATTACAAGTCTTTTGAGGCATAAAAAGTAAGTACTAGAAGCTGAGGTCTTGCGCATGTTGGAGATGACCTGCCACCTATGAATGTGTTTCACAGCACTTCAAAATATCTGCAAGGACAGAGTTTAATTGCAGAAGGGGTAAAGAAAAGGTTCATAGTTAAAAAAATAGAAAAATTTTGCTTCTAGTATGAACTTCATCTTTTTCTGTTAACTTTTTTTTTTTTTTTGTCTCCTTTTTTTCATCTTTAGGTGTCACTTTGGACAATGTGTTATTTTTTATGCCCTATATCCTATTTCACAGGTGAATAATAAAATTTTTCTTTTTAAAATGTTATCTCAGACAACCATTTCAGTGATTTCTGCACTGCCTGTCACTGTGTGAGTACTGTGGCTTGAAACAGAACTGGGACAGAATACGACAGTGTTTCTTTTGGAGTTCACAGCACTTCAAACCCATTGCTGATGCTTCTGAAAAACTCCATCAGCATGAGTAAAAATGCTAGGTAATATTTTTCTGACGACACACCAGAAGAATGGCCAGTCTTTACGAGTGAAGATCCAGGGAAGGTCTTTACACCTTCCAGCCTGCGCATTGGATTTTTTAGGTGAGACACAGTGTGCGCGGAACTGAGCCCACCCTTTAATCCTAAGGTTCATCTGCTGGGGCCAAGCGAGCTTGGACGGTGGCAGCGAGGTCCTTAGGACGTAGATGGGTTACCCTTAAGGGTTAGGGAATCGAACCCGGGTCTCTGCGGTGACAGCGCCGCGCCCTTAACCACTAGACCACCAGGGGCTCCACCAGAAGAATAAATACACGCAAAACCCAAGTGCTTTGTGAATCACGTAAAAGGTGAATTAAGAAAGTGAAATGTAGTCACTGTGAGTTTGAAAAGGCTAATTTGTGAAATCTGTTATGTTACAGAATCTACTAAAATAATTTTTAAAATATTTCATAAAACGGTATTAAATGTTTTAAAATGACACTTTGAAGGCTGAAAAATAGCATGTATAAAATAACCAATTATTAAAATTACTGATTATGCGAGAAATTCTCTAAAAAGTTCTGGGACTATGGTACCACATCATCTTTGAATACTTTTATTTTCTCTTTGGTAAGTATTCTTGCAAAAGTTTCACAACTTTAGCAAGATGTAACTGGGAACTTTACCCAGTTCTGCATTGCTGCAGGAAGGACGTAATGCTTATCTTATTCCATGGCAACTTTTGTCTGTGAAAGTACAAGATCATGGTGAGACACTGAATTTAGGGAAAAGCTGTATTTTAAGAGGTATATTTGTTTTTTCCTTGTGTAGTAATATATAAAAATTATGTGAGAAAGCCTCTTTGTCAGGGAAGGTTTAGGTTTGATACTAGAAGAAGGTTC